TTTGCTCCACTGGACTTAACAACAACAACATCTTTTTAAACCACACATGATAGTATGTTATGGTTAGATGCGATTGAGTCAATTCTGAATCATGGCTGCCCCATGTTTAATAGAATGAAACACTGGCCAATCCTACACCACCTTCAAAATCACTGTTATGTTTCCAATGACTGTGCCAATGTGCCATTGAAGTTCTTCCTCTTTTTCACTGAACCTCTACTATACCAAGCGGGAGGCTCTTTTCCAGGATCTGGTCCCTCCTGGTAACATGTCCAAAGTATGCAGATGAAGTCTTGAGGGGTGTCTCTCTATTGCCCTCTCTTTTTTTCTCTTGTCAACAGATATCTTTCTGTCTTGTGTAGGGATGAGGATGAGAGAGGATATTTCTCTCTCTGCTTTCTGAGGGTCCCAGGGCCCCTGCCCAGCTTCCTGTCCATCTGTGAACCCACCCCAATGCAGAGTTTCTGTTTCTGCTCAACCTGAGGTTTTTCATAACCCATGTCCTCATGCTGCACCCAAATCCACATGGTAACTTTCTCCCAGTGCTAGGGTGCCAGACCATAGATGCTGTGGGCCAGTGAGGGTGGGGACTCGGACATTAGGGTGTGGCCTCGGAAGAAGGAGCTATGTTGAAAGGAAAAGCATGACCTCAGGAGGAAGGGTTAGGTCTCAAGAGAAGTAATTGGTCGTTGAGAGGCAAAGATGGAGACTGGGGAGGAATTAGTGGGTCTCCAGACTGAGAAAGAAAAGGAGGGGCTTCAGGAGGAAGGGTGGGGTCTCAAGAGGAAAATCCTAACTAAGGGATGAGGAAAAGGTGGGGCCATGCAGGGCAGTGGGCATACCTTTAGAGACCAGTGTCGGAGTCCTGCTCCAACCGTCTCACAGGTACCCAAGGGAGGGGCGTGGATGAAGAAAAATATATACAAAGGGAAGGAACTGAGGAGAGGACACAAGCTGATGGCAAGTGACAAAGTTTATTTCCAATCTCAGAGTATATAGAGGGTGGTTCTGCAAGTCATTGATGTTTTGCATAGTTACAAGTCTCTCCTTTACTGTGAATCAGGCGTCCTTGGGAAATCTACCTTCCCTGCTGTGTTGATAAGCAGACTTTGTCTGGTTAGACCCAGACTTAAAGTTTTATGAGGCCCGTAAGTCTTTGGTCCCCAACATCTCCCCCTTCTTTCTTTATTTATTTAAGGGACATTACCTGTTTTAGGTGGTCAATGCAAATCCCCAGCCTTACCCGTCATTGATACTCATTGCAGCATAAGGCAATG